TTCCTGTTGGGGGCGATGCGAGGTGCTGTTTGTTGGCCTGAGTTGCGCGAGCCATGCACGCAGCTTCTCGATGTGATCGGAGGCTGTTGGGGCAGAAGGTGTCTGGTCGGAGAAGAATGCTCCCGGGAGTCGCACTGTTGAGCCGTAGACCATTTCCGCTGCGCTGAAGCCGAGGTCTTCCTTCACCGTTGAGCGCAGGCCAAGAATAACGAGCGGGAGCTTCTCCACCCAGTGCTGGCGGTCGAGTTTCGCTGCCAGTGCGGCTTTGAGTTGCCGGTGGAAGCGCTCAACCATTCCGTTGCTGGCGGGGTGGTAGGTGGTTGTATACTGCAGCTTTGTGCCGAGGAGCGTTGAAAGTGCGGAAAAGAGGTTGCTCTGGAATTGCCGTCCCCGGTCAGTTGTTATGCGGGCGGGGCAGCCAAAGCGGGACACCCATGTTTGAATCAAGGCCTGCGCGACGGTCTCAGCTGATATGTCCGCAATTGGTATAGCTTCGGGCCACCGGCTGTACCTGTCGATGCATGTGAGCAGGTACCTAAATCCTTGGCAGGGCGGTAGTGGTCCCACGAGGTCGAGGTGAACGTGGTCAAACCGCGACTCAGGAGTCCGAAATTCCTGTAGTGCAGCCCGATTGTGGCGAGTCACTTTCACTTGCTGACACGTTTTACATGTCCGAGCCCATCGTCGCACGTCTGCGTTGACTCCGGGCCAAACGAAGCGTTGCGTTATCAGCCGCTGGGTGGCGCGGACACCTGGGTGGCTGATGGAGTGGAAAGTGTTGAATACCACTCGGCGAAAGTTCAGTGGGACGAAAGGTCGTGGTGCTGCCTGGGAGGTATCGCAGGTTATCGTGCTCTGGACGTAGGGAAGTGCAACCTCCGAGAGCGCGAGTGAAGATCCCCCTCCCTTCAGTCTTGTCAACTCGGGGTCGTCCCGCTGAGCTGCGGCCATAGCTTCGAAGTCCAGGACTTCTGTGCCAGAAGCGTTGACGCGAGAGAAGGCGTCAGCTGCTTCGTTTTCGACCCCGGGAACGTGGCGGATGTCTGTAGAAAACTCGGAGAAGAATGAGAGCTGACGGATCTCTCGTTCTGAGTAGGAAGAACTGTTGTTGTTGAATACGTAGGTGAGGGGCTTGCGGTCTGTCAAGATGTAGAACTCACGGCCTTCGAGGAAGTAGTGGAAATGCTTAATGGAACAATAGATTGCGAGCATCTCCCTTCCAAAAGTGCTGTACCGTGCTTCTGCAGGCTTCAGACGCTTCGAAAAGAAGCCCAGTGGCTTCCACTGGGCGCCCTCCTGTTGCTGCAACACTGCTCCGACCGATGTGGAGGAAGCGTCCACCATGAGGCATGTAGGAGCTTCAGGCCGTGGATGAATGAGGAGGGTAGCCGCGGCTAGCTCGTCCTTAGCTTTCTGGAAAGCGTTCTGTTGTTCGTCAGACCAACAGAATTCTGGTGCCTTTTGGTCGTCTCGGCGCAGCAGGTCGGTCAATGGCTGGAGCACTCGTGCACAAGACGGAATAAACCGCCGGTGGAAGTTTAAGAGCCCGAGGAACTCCCTCAGCTTGCGAAAAGATGTTGGAGCTAGAAACTTCTTGACAGATTCCACCCTCGATTCCAATGGCATAATGCCTTCAGCAGTGATGTAATGGCCGAGGAAGTTGAGCGCCTCTACTCCAAACACGCACTTTTGAGGTTTCAACAACAGACCGTGCTCATACAGACGCCGAAACAGCTGGCGGAGGTGCTCTTCGTGCTCCGCAGGCGTTCTGCTGGCCACCAAAATGTCATCCAGGTAGACAAAGATGAAAGGAAGACCCCGGGTGACCTCATCCATGAACCTTTGAAAGGTCTGTGCGGCATTTTTCAAGCCGTAGGGCATGCGGACAAACTCAAACAGGCCGAACGGAGTTGTTATGGCTGTTTTTGGTATGTCCTGCGGTTCGACGGGGATTTGGTGGTATGCCGCTACGAGGTCGATCTTGCCGTATATTTTCGTACCTGCCAGCTGCGCGCTGAAATCGTGAATGTGTGGCAGAGGATACTGGTCTGGTGTTGTCGATGCGTTCAAGGCTCTGTAATCACCACACGGGCGCCAATCGTCGTCTTTAGGCACCATGTGTAGCGGCGATGAATGGTTGCTAGACGAAGGGCGAACAATTCCCAGCTGCAGCATATGCTCGAACTCCCTGCGTGCAGCTTGAAGCCTTTTGCTGGACAGCCGTCGTGGCCGGGCGGTGACTGGCGGCCCGGTGGTGACGATGTGGTGAGTCACGTTATGTTTCACCGGCTGTTCCGTGTTGCTGGGCTTGGTGAGCGAGGGGAATTCGGCCAGCACGTGGTGGTAGGCTGATACTGGCTGGAAGGCGCAGATGCCAGATGAGCAGATGTTTGACTCCAAACCACGTACTTTGAGGGATGTGTTGTTATCCTTGAGGCAACGGTCACGTACGCTCACATCCAGGTTGAAGTAGCTGAGAAAATCTGCTCCGAGCATGGCGAAATTAACATCCGCCACCACGAAGACCCAACGAAACAGGCGCCTGAGTCCGACGTCTATTGTCAGCGAGCGGAAGCCGTACGTAGCGATGGCAGTGTTGTTCACTGCCTGCAGCGACGATGTGTTCTTGCTACGTCGGCGATCCTCGGGTGTTGCCGGGACAATAGAGATTTCGGCTCCCGTGTCGACTAGCAGGCGCGAGTTGCTTACGCGGTCGACTACGAAAAACAGGCGGCTGGGTGGAGGGCCGATGTCGTAAGCCGCCGTTAACGACTGGCCGGAGCGTTTCCCGGAAACAAGCAAGGTTGAGTGCAGCGGCTAGCACCCATGCCGAAACCACGGTGGTACTAGCAAACTCCGTCCTGTGTATCTCGTGCATGGCTTCTCTGCGATGAGCTTGGGTGTCTTGAAGGGGATCGGTTGCGTCGTTGCTCGTCCTGTTGGGGAGCGCCAGATAGCACAAATTTCTGCATGGTCTCGGTAAGGTGTTGCAGTTTCTCCTCAAGGCGCGACAGTCGATCTGGTTGCTCATGTGTTCTTGCAGCAGCTATGGGCGCAAAGGTTGCAGTTGAGTATTCCGTGATGCGATCGGCAAGTTGCGCTAGTCGATCAAGGGACGTCTCATTTGAACCCGCGAGAACCACGCGCACCGACTGGGGGAGCCGTTGCAGGAAAAGTTCACGAATAAGTGGGAGCTGGCCGTCCTGACGCGCGTGCACACCGAGTACTTACCGCATACTGTGCAGCAGTTGGGAAGGTCGTTGGTCGCCCAGCTCTTCGCGACACAAGAGCTGCTGCAGTCTGCTTTCTTCAGGCGCCTCGAGGCGGTCCAGCACCGTCTTTTTGAGGGTGTCATATTCTTCTTGCGTGGGGGGTGAAACTAAAATGTCGTTGATAGCGTCGGTGATTTCGGGGGGCAGGGCTGCGACGACGTGAAGGTATTTTGTCGACTGCGAGGTGATGTGCCGGAGCTGAAAACGGGCCTCCACTTGGCTGAACCAAACTCTTGGATTTTTCGGCCAAAAATTTGGTAGCTTCACTTCTGTGGCGATGCTTCACTTCTGTGGCAGGCGTGGAGGCAGCAGCGTTGTCGTCGGAGCTCATCGCGGCGTGTTCGTTGAAGCGTTCGGGTCACCAATTTTGTAGCGGCCGGGAATGTCGGCTGCTGGAGGCAGCGAGAAAGGAGACGTGAAGCTGGTTTGGAGTTGCAGAGCAAGACTGTTTTTTTCCACTCCGTGCGAGTGACAAGAGTTCCCCTCGACGAGGGAGAGAAGGAGGCACCCCCGCGTTCTTCTACAAGAAAGAGGAAAAGGGGGGCCCCGAGCGAGCAGACGTAGCATGACGCCGGTGCTAATCCCCGGAGCCGGCCCCGACAACACGTTGTTCCCCGAACACGGAGGAGGAGGTGCTGGCGCCGCGAGTAGGCGCGCTGTCGACGGCCGGCTGCAGACGGGATAGAAAAGAATGCGGTGGTGCTGAGCAGCTTCCGCTACACACGCACTCCAAAAATTAAATGTGTGGTTAGCAACTATTAAATCAACTTCAACGATAAAACTAATCAAAGTATAATGCTTAATAGATGGTCAGGAATCCGAAAACAGATGGGGGTCAATATGTCCAGAAAAGTCTTCTCCACTTCTTAAACTATAAGAAAGACAGTACACCTGATGACATGTCTTTGGCTGTGAACTCTTTATTTGGAGACAACAAAATCAAACAATGCGACCCGTATCCATAGCCAAAAAACACTTGAGCCGTAGTATTCAATTATGATTATTTTCCGAGAATATTCTACAAACTAGAGAAACATCGATTACGGTTAAGAATGTCGTTTACGCATAAGGCCTGGGTGGTTTCATAATAGCATTGTTTGGTGAATGTTGACAGTTTACGAGTCCAAAAATAGAGAGAAAAAAATCGCGAGCACAAAAAACGTGGCCGAACAACCACATTTAAGGTGTTTTCACTCACGCTGACATTAGGCGTACAAGCACGGGCACGCGAGAGAGAAGACAAGACAGCATGAACTTGTCTCCGAATTTTTATGCCAAGACATTTCACATGACAGGCCGCAACCAGTTCATCTTAACTAGAATAATATCAAAGTTTATGTTGAATAGCGTTGTTACAGCTTGAAGGATTTGCAGAAGAGGGTCCCGAGATCAGCGAACCATACCAAGAACCTCTGTGCAGTATTACCAGATACAAACTGCGAAATATGCTCGAAAATGTCAAAATATTCAGGTCAACCAAGATAAAAATAATAAAAAACACCCAGACGGGTGGAAACGTTATTCAGATGAAGTTAGTAAATATAACTGTTTTTTTTATTTGTCAAATACTGAAATAAAGAAAGACAAGTTCACTCTGACAATGACAACATGCAGCGAAAGCCACCATGACGAGAAACAACGCAATTAGGTAATGTTTTTATGTGATCAAACAGGAAAAAATTAAAAAAGAGCGCTAAAAGAACGATGTACACGCTGTCATTACTTATTGGCTCGATAAATGAGCTCTATGTGTTTTTTTAAACGCAGTAAGGGACGACAATGTTTTAATGGGTTGAGAGAGAAAATTCCACATTTTTATAGCACACTGGCAATATGAGCATTTGTCATTATGGCTAATGCAAAAAAAAAAAAACTGCTTGACTTTCACAGCGATCACGTTGTGGTTCTTACACCTTCAAATTTGCCGATTTGGCTAGTATACCTTGGCAACTTGGGTCATACAAAACTTGTCCATGCATCTCGAACTTCTCGTATACATGGAGGCATTTATGGTGTGGCGGCCATCGAATGTGAGAGTTCCTAACTCGAACATCATACGTGACGCGTTTAGCTGTAAAAGAACATTTTAGGTCTTTGTGAATGTACCCACTTCCGTTACTTTCATCTGACAATTCTTTTACGGTGCGTGAAAACTTGGGCAAATTGGTAGGGCATAACTGAATGTAGGAACAGCGCAACCTAGAAGTAGTTACTTCGTAACTACAGAAGCGAAAAAACAAGGTCAGAAAAGAGCGCTGACTTTCAACAAAGATTTAATATTGAAGTGGTGTACATTTAGAGGGGAAAATAGATGGCATGGCCAATTTTTTTCATTTTTTTCGTCTGTATATGTACACCACTCCGATAATAAATATTTGTTGAAAGTCAGCGCTCTTTTCTGTCCTTGTTTTTCGCTTCCGTAGCTAGGAAGTAACTACTTTTAGGTTGCACTGTCACTACATCCTTTTAAGACGCTTGTAATCAGTCTATATGAAGTATCTAGCGCTATATGCTTTCTCTTGGCATATTTGCTCTTGATTCAGAATATGCTGAATCCAGTTGTGCGTTAAGTACTTTAGCTGCTAGAAGTGTAAAATGATGATCCTGCTTGTAAGCCGTCGTAAAGAAACTGTGCCACTAGACGTTAACAAGGGCACATTTACACGAAACTGCGCTATAGCCGCCAAACAACAATCTACAAAGTGCAACTGTTCATACATCAATCTACCTATAATTCTATTTCACCTGTGGTACACAGAGGTATACTCGTTACTGATTCTCATAACACTGAGTTCTACCGCGCTATGTATGAGAGTACCGACGAGCAATCGAATATTATATAGTTCAAAGTGGCACCACTGAGGTCTCTGATTCATCACTTGAATTCTGCCTGCAGTGCTGTAGAATGCAATTGCAGGTGATATGCAATTTTATATGTGAGAAAGTAGTCACAACGAAATAATAAAAGTCTTCCTAAAATGTGCCTGTTCTCCTGTCACTGACAAAATCGCAAATTCAATGAATTTCTCGGTAAGACTTGCTGTACAATTCTATGGCCTGTGAAGCTTTCCAAATCTACTTTAATGTTGTCGTGAGTTCGCCTAAATCTTGTTATGTGAATTTTTAACTGAAATTGGAATTTTAACTGAAAGAGGTTGAGTGAGAAATATGAGTACACTAGTTAAAAAATGTCAGCGTTCCCTTTAAAGATAAACTTCTAGTGAAAAGAAAAAAAAACTTAATTAGGCTTGCGTAGCACTCTCCCAATACCTGCCATTATTATACGCATACACGAAAGTCGTCCTATTGCAGATAGACCCGCCGCGGTGATCTAGTGGTTAAGGTACTCGGCTGCTCACCCGCAGGTCCCGGGATGAAATCCTGGCTGCGGCAGCTGCAGTTTCAATGGAGTCGAAAGTGCTGTAGACCCGTGTGCTCAGATTTGGGAGAAGATTATAAAACCCCCGGCGGTCGAAATTCGTGGAGCCCTCCACTACCGCGTTTCTGAAATCGTGGTTTCGGGACGTTAAACACCTCATATCAATCCCGCAATCAATGCTATTGTAAAATTTGATGGACGCTGCATCTTTTCCTTGCCAATGCGCACGATTTGCGTGAAGAATAAATTAAGTGAAGATAAAACCGTCGCGTTGGCTTGTCTTTTACTGCATACATACAGCGCCTCCTAATACCGTTATCACAATCGCATTTTGACGAATGTCTAATTATCCATATAGCAGCCTAAGTATGACATTCAGTTCAGCACTGCTTCCCCCAGTCTGACTCCCCGACAGAACTAATAATTATTAACAATATTCCAACTTTAGAATCCCAAAGAAATCTAGCTAGAAATAAATTTCCTTTTAACCTATCTAAGAAAAACACTATCATAGACCTTTCGCACGTGCTCACTGTTTTATCTTCACGTCCTACTAGAGGATACCATTCTTACAAATTTACAGCTACCTTTGCGCGCACTAGCAACTTCAAGTACTCTTTTTTCCTTCGCACAATAACAGACTGGAACGAGCTGCCGCACCATATTTTTGTGTCTGCAAATGTAATAAATCTCTAGAAAATCAGTGCGAAGTGGGAGTTATGTAACCCGCGAATATATTCTACGTCTGTCTGATTTATTTTTTCTGTCGTTGTTGTTTTCTTTGTTTTTCTTCTTTCTCTACACCTGTACATCTAATAATTGGTCATTTCATTGTTGTACCACCTCCCGCTCCTGCTTGGGCTATTTTCATGGCATGCAGTACTTTATAAATAAAATAAATATCTTTGCTAATGGGTGCTTCGCTTACTTCAAGAAATGTTTCCCTGAATGCTACGGCATCACTAATATATTTATAGCACAAGGAACATAAATTGTGTGGTGACATTAGCCATAGCAATTATTCTATAAAGATTGGCCTCATAAATGAAGGCGGAATTGTGCTTAAAGCCGAGCTCCTGCTAATCTTCAAAAGGTACCTCAATGCGCAAAGAACCACATCGCTTTTTTTAGCATTTCATTCGCTTCATAATACTTCATAATACTTCATAATTGATAGCGCAATGGTGGGACATAGCCACTGGCAATTCGTGTACTCTTTCTCTGAAGCTGTAGCAGAGCACGTTTCTTGGTTCGCATCAGATATTGACTGCAACAAGCTTTATTTTCATATTTTAGACTGCTAAGCATGGCGTTCGTTGATTAAGAACAACAATCACCTCCTTTGATAGCTGATAATTCAGCACAGCAGAGCTTTTAGTAATGCTCTTCCCAGACACATGGCTTGTTTAAAATAAAGAGCAGCGTCACATTAAAAACCGCAAAATTGGTTGACACTGTCGTTCAGTAGGTAAGAGAGTATTCTTCAGCCATAGATGTTATTTTATGCTAGCGGTTATGGTCTGGTGATAGGCGCAGGAAAATGTTAAAAGATTCGTGGATCTATCAATCATAATGCGTCAGAGTCAAACTACGAAGATATGAACTCACAGAGATTCCTAGTTCACACGTAATACCAACTTCGCAAGGATGCAGACGGTGCAGTGGGAGGTAATAAGGTGTACCATCGCACATCATGTCCACTATACCGCCGTACTTGGTGCGATTGAGCTAACGATCACACAAACGGCAAAAACTGACGATACGTGTCATCTCAAAACTTGGACGTCTTAGTTAAGCGTAGTTGATGATTGAAATGTGGGCTTTAACGTCTCTAAACCACTATATGATTATGAGAGACACCGTAGCTTAGGGTTCCGGAAGTTTTGACCACCCATGGTTTTTTTTAACGCGCACCCAAATCTGAGCACATGGGCCTACAGCATTTTCGCCTCCATCAAAAATGCAGCCGCCGCAGCCGGGATTCGATCACGCCACCTGCGAGTCAGCAGCCGAGTACCTTAGCCACTAGACCACCGCGGTGAAGCTAGTTAAGCGTATACAGTGTAGCAAGTAAAACCAATTCCGTTGTCGCATAAGAATTCCTTGCGTACAAGCGTTACGAAAATTGCTAATTCGTACGAGCATACATCTGTAACTGCGGCACTGCATTTTTAATTAGAAGCCCTGAGTTACCGCACAAGCTCTACTGAAAATGGCAAAATTACGTGGAACGCTATTCAGCTGTCGGAATTGTTTTGCATTCATCAACAATTTTAGGCTTCTAAAATATGGGATAAGTAAAATTTGGGTGGATTGCTTAGTTATGATGAAGACATTGAGCCTAGAATGATTTTGGACGGCAGCTATCCTGTCAAGATATTGTGATAAAACACAGAAGCCTACCGCCAACATTGGTCGTGACCATAATCACTGCACAGCTTTTGTCACCGCTCACATAGAGCAGATCCTCTTGGAAGCTGACGCCCTTGCCTATAAACGAAACAATGAATAGCACGTTGTCAAAACACAGTGAATGGAATATTTGAAAATTGTAGTAAATCAAGAAGGAAAGACCGCTTCTATCAGTTAAAGTACCTAAATATTTGAAGATGTATCCTGCATATGTTAATAGCCTAATTGATATAAAAACTGCGGCTTTATACTTGATTATCTAATCTTGTTTTGCAATAACGCTGGTGCCACCATCAACTTTAATCTAAACTGACACACATAAAATCTCACGTGATCCTAAAACAAAAGCCTTAAACACTTACATAGCCCTATAACATTCACATATATGAAATCAGGGTGCCTGAATTTTCTTAAAATGTGCTGAATTGTAATGTTACAGCTACGTCTGTCACATTTGCTCCATGACGGAATTTCAATTTGTTGCCAACGCTGCACATATTACAGAAACATGTCACATTGAACAGACGCGAATGTAACAATGAGAGCCTATATTTCGAATTCTTTATTTGTGACAGGTGTACAGTCGGTGTGAAGATTAACACAAACGCTCAGACGCACGACCTGTACTGATTTGTCTCATGCGAGCCACAAAGCCCCGGCCATCGTTGCCAAAAAATACTTCGGTATGCTTGGATAGTATGCGACATGCAAGAATAACGTGTCGGCAAGAGAAGCCAGAGTTACACGACGCTCGTCAATCCGCTGCAGAGCTGATTGGTGCATATTTCACGTAAAGGGCACCCTTTACACCTGCAATGATAGTTTGAGAATATACCCAGAATATACCCGAGAATATACAGTGGTGGCCTAACCAATACTTCCCCCCAACCACCGTACATGCAAAATCGCCCTTCAGAAGTTGTCTGGAGCACACACAGGTAATAAAACAGTTCTTGACGGTGGTGGTCGCTCGTTACACGAGCGTCAATCAAACAGTTTCAGAACACGCTGCTTAGCATTCGTGTAAAGCTTGCTCACGGCTGTACATGGACTGATATCGCTCTTCAAAAAAAAAAATATCGCAAAGTTTGACAAAATTCCACCATTTTACAGAAATTCACACAATCTCTTTCAAATTCTTAAACGTATGGAAAGTCACTAAAGTGTCCCCGTTATCTTTTTGAACAAAACGCGATTTTCTTTTCAAGTTCAGCATACATTGGTCGACAAAAGTGCATAGAAATTTGTTTATTGGCAAATCGGTCCGTGAATTTACTGTTGTAGCATGACATAAAGCGTGGTGCTCAGGATCGTAGAAGCACACGAACTTTTTTGAGATGTCAGCGGGTAATGAATTGTGCGAGATGGAAAATGGCCGTGAGGGCCAGCCCAAACGAAACACGGACGATAGAAGAAAACAGAGACACAAGCACTGTCTGTTAACAAAGAGACCTTTGAGCCAATAAAGGGCCCATACTATCACTCCTCGATGGTGAAGCCACTCACTGAGCATGATGTGGAAGATATTGCGCTTGGCGTAGTGAGATCGTGACAGCAACACGAGCCATTACCTGTTGCCGTAGCATGCTTGGCAACTGGCGGAATAGCGGTATATGCACAATAGTTCCACAGAGACGTTGTTTTATGCAATGATGTGGCTACTGGAGCTGTTGACGTCCAACAAATAATGCATCGTTGAGCTACTAGATGTATCATGGCCGACAAATTAAAAAATGAAGATTGGGCGAAGAGTAGTAGGAAATAATGTGATGAATGGTTCGGAAATATATTGCTACCTGGTCGTATTGGTCTCATAAATTTTTCTTACGGTTGGTGATGGCCTCTACAGCACATCGAGGGAGTGTTTATGTTAGTTTCAGCTGCTTCCGCGATTTGCAAGCGGCGACCCAGTTCTAAAAATTGACGCTCATTTTGAACCAGTTGAAACAGCGTCGGATGTTGTGACATTCGTTTATCACATCAAGACTCGCAGTACTGAACGTCTTAACAACCACTAATCAGCTATTCTTGGCCATGGTGGAAAGCTGGCCGGTAAAGTTCCTTGTTGAGTCAGTTTGCGCAGCCAGTGCTCTAAAATCATAATGAAATAATTGGAAGCGCAAACCAACGGGACACAATAGAAGAAACAAACAAGCGCGGACTGAAACTCAGTTTATTCGGAGAAGAAATACCAGAAAGATGAGAAAGGGAAACAACCGGAGAGAAGGTTCCACCATGATCAGGTGTCGTCCAGAAACGAGAGGATTATGAATTTGTACCAAATAACCCGCCTGTCAACCCTGCTGCTCTCAGATCACATCACCGCGATGCGAAGTCGCTCCCTAAGTGTAAGGAGAAATAGTTCCTCCATAGCACGCTCGAGTATTTGCATGTATTGGGTTTGTCTGAGGAGCAAAGAACATATATGAAGGCAACATAGCGAGATAGACCTGAACTTTCTTTATAATAGCGTCCACATCGGTGGCATTAGAATCATAAGGTTTAAGGCGTAAGTACTTTGGTAGAGAGATTTGCGTGTTTCTGATCGCAAGGCGACAATTGAAAGCTAACGTTACCAAAACAGAGCTTGTTCATAACGCCATCCGTTTTTGTAACAATACGCATATTAAAAGGTTGTAAATAACTAATGTCATGGAACAGCTTACCTAAAGTGCTTATATTAAACAGCAAAATAATATCGCGCGTGCGCGTGCACACACACACACACACACACACACACACACGCACACACACACACGCACGCACACAAACATACACACACACACACGCACGCAAGCACACGCACACGCACATACGCAAGCCTGATGTGTTTATATACAGACGCATAGATGCGGAAACACACACACAGCTGTCTAGCAACAATGACACAGTGGAACACAGATGCGAAAACACTGCAGTACGTATTACAGTTTAGACAAACGTCGTACGTGGACTGTAGAATTACAATCCATGCAATGTACGGGGCTGTAAATATTACGCTACTATAAAAAATTGACCCCACCTCCCCGAAGGGAATTGTGAGGAAATGCGAATGCATTGCGTGGTGTCCATAAAGGCGTTTCGCACGTGTGAAGCCAGCATTAGAAAAATGTTTTATTTTTTTACTTGCACCATGCAGCCAATAGCGCAGTTCCCCACCATGACGTTTTTCTGTAGTGAGAAACGCGGTATGCGTTTCCAGCTCTGGTAGCTAGAGTGGACTGTTAAAATAAGCGTGTGGGACCACACCTGTTGCCGACAGCTGCCGACGCCGTAGCGTGACATGGTGGGGGCTCCTGTTGCTAGGGACGCGCGCGCCTACCGCTGTTGCTATGGGAGAGGGCGGTGGATGGATTTGGACGGACGTCTGGCATATCCCGTGTAGGAAATGCATTGGCATTTAAAAACGAATGAATTCAACAAGATATTGGAAGTTGGATAATGCAAATGAAGAGTAAAGTCGACAGACACAAACCTTTGGGTTTTACGTCCATGTGTTTCCTTCGGTGCTCATAAAATGTTCCGTACAATATCCGAGACACCCTGTAAATGCAGAAGTTTATATTGATATTCAAATTTTATCTCGCACACCTAGAATCTTACTTATATTCTTTGTTGTAACACGATCGTGTGTAGATAATGAATTGCTGCTTCATTTCATTAACCTGGTCCACTAAACACCTTAGGTTGGTCTTTCCTGTAGTAGTGTGCGTCCATATTGGCTCTGACGTGGAAAAAAACTGCAACAAAAAAACGGGTAACATGAAAACCACAGTCACGGACTTTTGCGCTCTACAGGAGGCTCTACGATGCGGTATTTAAGTGTTTTAGGTGCAAGCTATTCTCTCATGATTATACGATGCCTTTAAATTTACACAGCCGAATGCACTAAAGAGTCTGGTTTTCAAAGATTTCGAAAGATATTCATGCCCTCGGGACTTCAACAACGTTATTTTTTTACATCAAACTTCAAAAGCAACCTTAATCATCTCTTATATACCTTTATCATGGACAGTCTTAACCAAGGTTAAGCTGACAACGGTTAATGCTAACCACGGTTAGGAGTAGCTACGCGGCCGATGCAACACTTGGTCGTCTTAACGTGGTTACCATGATCTGAGTTAGACTTGTTGTGTTTATTATCACAAACCCAGAAACTGAGAAGGGGCGTTGAACGCTGTTTGACGATGTGTATGTAATACAGCTCCAGTCGGCAAAAAATAGTCAAGCAAAACTCGCGTAAAATTAGATTCGCGATGGAAAGACTATCAAAAGACTGTTCCGTTTTCAGCTAGTTTACCGACATAGTATTGCTACATACTTCTCCTGGAAAATTGCTTTTCACATTGTTGGCATCTCACCGCCTCATATACCCGTAAACACCGCATACGTTGTCCAAGATAGAAGGAATCAATCCTGAAGGTGCAAAAAAACTGCACCGCACCACGTAAGCCCGAGTATGTGTGCAATTTTTTTTTTTTGCTAAACACATCACAACCTCTTGATTTCATCAGCTTGCTCAACTGGTCGAACTTAGCATGTGTAACAACTGCAAGCCTCATGCGCCTCAACTGTTACACACCACGGTTAAGCATAGCAACACTTAAAACTGTCTGTATGACGTGGCATCAGTCTTCCTTTTTTTCGGAAAGCTTCTATAAATCCAAACTCTGCTAAATGACCTTGATGTCCCTATCAAGCCTCCACGCCCGCGCTGCCAAATTACTGTTTGGTACTTGTATTAGACCGCATAATGAAAGAATTATAATATGTCTGCTTAACCTGAAGTTTGTCTAAATTGAAGCTACTTGGTTGGTCGATTCCATGCCATGTGATAGCGTAGCTTGTGCAGCACATTAGCCTGCGCTAGCCAACTCCTGTTTGTATCGGAGTGAATTGAAGCGCTAATAAAATTGATTTTACTTCATTCTGCTTATAAAAGAGGTTGACCCCATCATTGACGGCAAAAGCTTTTGAATCCTCAGTAACCGAATGCCTGTTGTTCACGATCTTTGCTATAACACCTTCCGGGAAGCATCAACATGAAGTAGGAATTAAAAAACTGTATTTTGTGGGACAAATTATGAGAATAGCTACAGGACAAAAACTGGCTTTTTCACTATCTTAGTTGATGACATACTACCATAAACGCCTTCACCACAACTTACCCAATGGTCAATACGACTTGTTATATGAAGGTTACCGACTTTCGATCGTGTATAATCTATCAGTGGTCTCTTTATCAGGCCACACTAGAACCACACACTTCGCCTCTTTGTTTTGAAGAATGATGTGTCTTATGGATGTAGTTTTAAATTCAGAGCGTATTTTCGTTCTGTACAATTTAACTCTGCAGCCTTTGAGCGCTATTCATTCCGGAATATTGAGCTGTTAAGCTGGGTGACGTTAACTCTGGCCTTTTTTTTACAACTAAGCACAGAATTACTTTGATATTTCACGCCTATCATCCTTGAAAAATATGTGATGGTGGTTGTCACCAATTATCTGCATTGTTCGGAAATCAGGCAAGCTTTTCCAACGATGGTGTGCCACCGACGCCACGCCTTTCCGCTTTTGCTGTGCTATTCCCGATGGTAGTGCTTCGTTTGAGCTCCACAATTATGGAGTCTACTTAAGTACTTCTGTACCTTTATGCAAAGCGTCCGGGACGCCATGCGCCAACTTCGGTCACATTATTTGAGTGACTCCTACAACTGTGAACATCATAAAACACTATTTACCCTACATTTGAAATTAACAAAGCCGCGAGGAGTGTCAGGCTATGCTACCGAGTGAGTACCGAAGTGATGATCGCAGAGCAGTCCACATCGCCGTGGACCCATCAAGGCTCAATGTCTGGCCACTGTATGAGGAAAGGGGGCTTCGGTGAGGCCATTACAGTAATTGCGCGCTTGTCTTTATTGCTGCGAAAACCAAAGTTTCATCTACCTCTGTCTCTTTCTCTATGCCACCACCTTCACTCCCAGAGATGACGTTTTTCAACACGCAAGTGTTTTATGCCGGAGTCCACCACGGCTGCGCGACGTATTTCCGTCATAAATATCATGTTGTAAACTATTTACTAACAGATTGTAAAAAATGAGAAGAAAAAGTTGCACAGCATAGCATCGAACCAGCAACTTTGAGCTCCTCAGTGCGCGACGCTAACCACCAAATCACTGTGTGTCCCTCGCAACGTGAACATGCAGGGTTGTATAGGACGTGCTCAGCAGCCAATTCTTCTATTTGTACGAGAGAGTCGGATTTTAAACAATCATCCATAAAAAGATTCTCAGCACCATCGCGATAAGAGAATAGCGAAGAACAGTGGATTTAAATCTTCTGGTCTTTATCTATACTGTGCGCAACGGTCCATACGTTGCTTTTCCGCCATATTTTGGTGTGCAGAAAAGTGTTATCAGATAGGGAAGGTGCTACTAGCTTTTACGGGTCATTGGCATATGCTTCCGCACAAGCACCCTTTATTTACTAGAGCAAGTATGATCGTTGATTTCTGTAAACTTTACTGGTAATTTTTCACAGGTGCTCAAGATGTTGCTGCGGCACTGAAAATAAACTGAATAAAAACATACGCGACTTTTCTGTTGCCTTATATTGATTTGTCACGTTTTCAGATGGTACAAATTTTGAATGACACGAATAATTTTTGCAGCTTCGCTAGATTTGTACCTCTGAGATTTTACTGTATGTGACTGAGACTATCCAATGACCGTAGCCACCTTCGGTTCATTGGACATTTATCTACTGCATGACTCCTATGTAGCCTTTCCTTCACCACTTTTTTTACGCTATCGAAGTTCGGCTTGCTCTTACGTGTCTGAAATTAATTTCTGCGAGACAAGAGCAGCCATCTTCACCCGTGACAATCTGCTATCTTCCGAGACCATCCACCAAACTCTTCATAATCATTATAGTGAAGATGTAAACTACAACCTTGCATACTTTGTGCGATATTTTTTTCATTTTGCGTCGTGAACCCCTGCCTAAAACTGATGCCCGACTAAGCGGTCAACATTGTCGTGTCAACCACTAAGTGGCTGTAAATGTTGTTGGGATAAGAAATATCCAGGCATTCCAGGCATCTGACCCATCTGGTCCCCTATAAATGTGCAGTGCGTTCACAGCCTTCCGCAGCAGCGTCTGTTTCTTTACTAATGAATGATGTGAGTACTGAGAGCGAGTGCGGCTCCAGCGAAGACGAAAGGAACTGGTTGTCTTCTGCAGTGAGAAAGACTCATAGCGGTTCCACAAAGGCGGGATGCGTCTTTCTGTAGTAGCATCATATCCCGATCTTGTAGTCACGCTTCTAATCTTGCCAAGGATAAAAAACACAGCATATCCACGGAGTGATGGATGACGAATAGGGCGAAGCGTCCGTCAGCCCGCCCGTGCTTCCGTCCATCGTCCGTCCGTTCGTTCTTGCTTCCGTCCGCCAGTCCGTCCATCCTTCTGTATGTTTGCCTGTTCGTACGTTCGTCCATCAGTAGGTCCACGCGTTTATCCATCCGTCGGTCCGTGCGTTCATCTAGTGAACGCTCCAAGTACCGCCATCTCCCATCTAGCATGCCCCGTGGCACATACCTGCTCTAGAGCGGGTATGTGCTACCGTCGGCTACGTACGACTACATACATACAAGGGATGGACAGACCCACGCTTTATGGAGCTTCGCCCCTAAAAATTACTCACACCTTTGTGACTGTTGTGCTCTGATCACTCAGGTTTGCTGAAAAGACGGACAGCACAACTGTCACTTCGCATGGGCGCACGCTTAAGTGCAACAAGCCTTACTTCGTACTACCCCTTCAGGCGCAAATTGCAATGTACAGCCTGCAAATGCGTCAAATTCACATATTATGATTCTAGGCTTTCTTTATTCTAAGAATAAAATAAAGAAATGCGTTCTTTTGTGTTAGTTTCTGCATACTATGTCACTAGCACATAATTAAATATCGATCTTGTAAATATTCAGCTTCAATACGCGTACAAAAGATGTAGAAATAATAAAAAACTAAGCCGAAAACGCATGAACAGTTTGTTTTTTCATTGCATTCATTTAGATTAAAGAAAAAGAAGTCTTCGTGTTAGTCCTCCAAATTCCAGATTTCACACCTATCTTTATTGGAAAATTTTTAGCCATAATACTGGCCCTTCGAAAACTGCCAACATCAATGAAATCCGCCGTAATAATAACAGACTCCTTGTCGGTCTGCAGTGCACTCATGGCATCCGGTGGCTCGAAAACATTAGGCGAATTCAACTCCCTAGCACCGAATCCCTTAACCCAGGTGCGATTAAAATGGGCACCGGGGCGTAGAGGCATAACTTTAAATGAAACAGCTGACGCACTAGCGAAAGCGGCGTTAGACAGACCAGCTATAAATATTACCCCTACAACAGCCTTTATAGTAACTTCTAGATTTCGGAGACAATTGATGATGCGAGAATTCTCTACACCATCTTTCAAAAATTCCCCGGATTTCAACCATCTAATGACACTCTGGAAAACTTCCTCATGTCATAACTGATACCTGGAAGTTTTAATCGGTCGATTACGCTGTCGTATTCATTAAATTTTTATTTGTTTAGAGCAGCCTTGACTCTCTCTCCACTTGGTTCTTTTTGTGGAAGAGGAAACTGTAAAGCGCTGTTTCTTCTCTTGTAGAAAGTTTTCAACATTAAAAAAGGTATCACTAGAAATACCATAACAAATCTTTGGCTTAGCTTTGACAACGTCATATTTACTATCCTTAGGTGCACATACCCAAGGGCACGGCACCGGGAAAGTGTGCGCGGCCGTGCAAGAATTCATTGTACAGTCAAAAAGATTTACTTGAAAAGCTCAAAACCAAAAGGTTCTCAGTTAACCCATGTAGGATATTGAAAGCTTTTCTTCGATATCAATAAATTATTGCTCAGTCGGTAGGAACTGATTCATCAAAATAATTTACAAAAATAATTTTCTGAAAAAATAATTTATAACAGAAAACAATATTTCTGCAAATTTTGTTTTCGCCTGTAATTAACTATATACATTCGTTTTTTTTGTGGTAAGCTACCCGATTCTTGGCCGATCCCCTAGGGTGGGTGTGAGCCATGAGTTTAGGATATACATCTACATCTACATCTACTCCACTCATCAACCAGCAAACATGGTAGTGTCTTCAAAAAGTGACGCTCTGCATCAATACGCAGCACAAACAGGTTTACTGACCGTCATTTATCAACTTGAGAAGTCTTTACGAACGATGAATGTGCAGATTGTGTTTGAAGAAACACGCGGTACTTGGTGCACCTCCAAAGTTTGTGTACAATTGTACACATTGTATCTGAAGGGGATACCAATCCAATTTGCTGCTACCGCATTCGCTGCTGCGCGCTTCCTGTGCAGCTGCCCGGAAACCGGTAAGGGAACTTACAAGCATATGGATGCTCAAGCCCTGTCACTGTGACTGACATATACAGTTACATGGTAAACAAAGAGGGGCTGCTGCAATGCACACACCCTTACCAGTTCAGCATGCTTATCTTGCTCTAGAAGTGGTACGACACAGCGCCATTGATTAGCACATGAAGCAACCTGCCATATTGTAATATCTGCCATTTGAGGGGGCATGCAAGTCCACAACTCCTTTCATGAGATAAATGGTAACTGAGCTCATCACTACAGAGCACAAGCATCAAGGAAAAGTATTTTATGAACAAACGAGTACTCTTGAATTGGAAAAACAGGGGAGTGCCTTAAAATTCTCAAAATTTCAAGAAAGCAAACATACCTCTTTTATGCTGCATGCCCACTTTCTATGGGGCCAATTATTACCGTCTAACACAACCCAACAACCTGTATAAATAATTATTTTAAGAGCCAGTTTCAGCATCACCTTGGTCGAAGTCCTGTTGGTTACGAGTATGTTTTGGACGCATAATAAAGACACCTGAATGCGCAAAGTATAGGCTATTTTAAGTACAACATGCTCGGGTGTTGCTGATATTGTTCACAGATGTCTACAGCAGGTGTTCTTGAAATTGCATTTGTTGCTTGGCGTTTCAGAAGCGATCCTTTTTTTGCGTTGAACTACTCGGGCTACATAAACTTCTCATACGAAGTACGAAAGTTGTCCCTTTCGTACTTCGTAAAGATACTGAACTGCATTGGAATTAAGCAGAATGACGTAATGACAGCAAATTTCCTTTATATTTCCTTAATAGCCCCATTTCATCGCTGTGCGGTGATTACCAGTGGCCGACTTTCAAAATTTCAAAGCAGTTTTAAACTATTCAGAGGAAGAACTTGCAATTGGCCATTCCACTCGACTGCTTACGTCCACTGATTAAAAAAAAATTCATTTTTAAGTTCCTTAATTACGGCCGTACACAACGTTTACACGCATCTTAAAATACCACCGTGAGATGTCTTCGCGGTGGTATATGCGAAATACCACCGTGAAGACATCTCTACTGGTAACACATGAATTCCACCTCCCGGTATTTTTTGAAATATTGAATACCTTCAATAAAAGACCCTGTATATGAGACCCCGGCCTAATACAGGACGGACCCGGGCCGGAAGTTTATGGGCTCAAGCCCGGCCTGGCCCGGGCCCATACAGTGCTCTAATTGGAGCTACAGTCACTAGACTTGACACTGGCAAACTATCTCAGCAGACTAAAATTCTCACTAAGAGACGACAAATTATAAAAGCCTTAAATGCTACTGATAAACTTCAGCTGGTTTAGCTTTCAAAGTTTTATCAACAGGCGCAATGTAGCAGACATCAGAAGGCATACCACGGGGAGAATCGAGAAGGCTGTAAAAAGCGCCCGAAGCCTAGAATCTTCGAAGGCAAACTTGTGCATAGGCAAAAATCGGATGCATGCATTCAAAGGCAAGGAAGACAATGCAATAAACAATATGAATTTGGAGGTGGAGGAGTTCTATAGAGAGCTGTACGGAAACCGAAATAACCAGGATGACATCATAATAAGCAATAATATCACATATGATTAGGACATCCTGCCAGTAACAGCAGCGGAAGTAAGAATAGCCCTAGAAGTAATGCAAAGAGGCAATGCCACTGGTGAAGACAACAACGGACCTGCTGAAAAATGGCGGAAAAATTGTGTTAAAAAACTTACCACCTTATATACGACGTGTCTCTTGACTGGAAGGGTACCAGATTCTTGGAAGGACGCCAACACTATATAATTCATAAGAAAGGAGACAACAAAGACTTGAAAAAAAAAAAACAGGCCGACCAGCTTACTGTCCGTTCTCTACAAAGTACTCACAAAAATATTAGCTAATATAAGTAAGACGGCATTACAGTTCCAACAACCCAAGGAACAAACAGGAATACGTAGAGTCTGCTCCACAATTCACAATATTTATATTATCAATTAGGTAATAGAGAAATACGCGGAACGCAACCAACCCCTATATATAAATCTCATAGATTACTAGGAGGCGTTTGACTCAGTCGAGACATCCGCAATAATGGAGACACTATGAAATCACAGCATTAAAAATCAGCATGAACATACTGAAAGAAATCTACATTGAATCAACAGCCACTATAGCTCTCTATAAAGGAAGTAACAAGATCACAATAAAGAGTAGTGTGAGGCAGAGAGACACCATCTCTCAAATGCTCTTCACCGCTTGTTTACGGGAGGCCTTCAGGGCCCTAGATTTGGAAGAGTTTGGGATAAGAGTTGATAGAAAGTATGTTAGTGAAATGCGGCTCACTGATGACATCGTGTTGACGAGTAACTCCGGGGATGCATTACAACTCATAATTACTGAACTAGACACGGACACCAAAAACGTAAGTGTGAAAATAATACACACAAAACTGCAGTAATGTGCAACAGCCTCGGCAAAAAAGAGCACTTTAGGATAGCGGGACAGACACTGGAAGTTGTAAAGAAGTAAGCCTACTTGGGAAAGGTAGTAACCACGGAGCCGAACCTTGGGAGTATAATAACTAAAAGAATAAGGACGCAGTAGATCACATTGAGCAAGCATTCTCATGTCATAAATGGTAGTTTAGCACTAACGCTCAAGAGGATTCCACGTAAAAGCTGATCTTGCCGGTACTTACCTACGATGCAAAAACCTGGAGGTTTACAAAGAGGGTTCAGCTTAAATTGAAGTTGACAAAGCAAGCGATGGAAAGGAAAATATAGGTGTAACTATAAGAGACAAAAAGAGTGCAGCACAGTGGATTTGGGAACAAAGTGGGGTCAAGAACATCTTAGTTGAAATCAAGAAATTGAAGTGGACAAATGCCGGGTGCATAGCATATAGGCAGAATAACCGCTGGTCGTTAAGAGTAACTGGCTAGATTCGCAGAAGAAGCAAACGCACAAAGGGAAGGCAGGAAGGAAGGTGGGTCAATGAGAATAAAAAGTTCGCAGGTATAACATTGCAGCCAGAAAGAACAAGAACGGGCTGGTTCAGAGGCCTTTGCTCTGCAGTGGGCGCAGTCAGGCTGATGATGAAGATGATGCGATTGCAATATCCTGTCACTTGTGTGTACTTGAAGCGCTTCTTGCATAAGTGTTCTTGTACTATATTAGTCGTGAAGTTGAAATTGCGGACTATCAGAATATAATCAATAAAAATGAAAGTTAATTGTGACAGTGAATATTTCGCATATGACTGCAATCTTGTAATGGGTAGCATGCTGCAATCCAGTAGTAATCATGGTCGTGAAATGTTTTTGAAGTTCTTATGCATCTTTTTCGTGTCCTTAAGGAAATACGCGAAGTAAACTGCGCATTTTTCTAATAGCAGGTCTGTTTCCAACAACGAGGTAATTATGAATAACCACCTGTTTTGCTACCCGATAGCAATGAACGCTTGTACGATGCAATAGTACTGTGATATTAGATGTTGTGAAGCCACAACAAAGGACGCATGTGTTGGCGAAAGTATGAATGACATTTCACAGCACCTGCAAGCAGATAACGTTCTTTTTTCACTGTATTCCCAGGGAGACGTGTGGCTGCACGAACATCTGCGTAAACGATTCGGGCTCCATCTTTATTCAAGCTCACAAAGTTTTTCCTATTTAATTTGCACGTTTCCTCATTTTTCGGTGACGAAAAAGATCATAATTTTTCACCCACGACCAATGAAACAACGCCGACGCTGGAATTTCGGTGCAACGAGCCCTTTACCCTTTGAAGCGGCCCTCCAACTTTTTAGAAGACTTCGTTGTTTCACATATATTACTAGCTGGTTTCATAGACTGTAGACGTAAGAGATTAGTGCAGCAAAAACGGTAGCATAGGGACACACACTTGAAAGCTTTTCAGCCGGAAAAAATCTAAAATGCAATAAAGTGGGCGGAAATGAAGAAATGGCAGCATATCCACGGAGTGAATCATGGATAGTGGGGCGAAGCATCCGTCCGTCCATTCGTTCTTGCTTCTGTCTATCCATGCGTGCGTCTGTGTGCCCGCCCATGCGTCCATCCGCCCGTTCGTGCGTGCGTCTGCTCGTGCGTCCGCACGTTTATCTGTGAGTCCGTCCCTGCTTTCGTCCAGGCATCCGCTCTTGAGTCCGTCCATGCATCCATCCGTTCGTGCAGCCATCCATGCGTCCCTTCATGCATCTGTCTGTGTGTCCGTTCGTCCACCTATTCAACACTCCAAGTACCACCATCTCGCATCTTTTCATCATATATTCCTCATATAGAAGCACCGCCATTCAGCGGACATTCCAAGGACTGAACGAGAGGAGGCACACGCACACTTTCTTACGACTTGCGCTTCGTGTCTACTTCCCACCTTTAACCACCCCGAGTTCATGGTTTATACTAGTTCACTGTATTCATGGTACTGCAGCCCAACGCTCGCTAAATCTTTCTAAAACCTAGGAGGTTATGTCCAGCGAGTATAACGTAGCAACCCTTTTTTGTGTTCTGTGCGTTGTTGAACATTAAAAAATTTGCAGCGTGCGCGTTACTAAAAGCCGAATTCTCGTGGCTCTCATGCCCCTTAGCATGTACATTGGCATGTATATTGAGCACTATCTTTTTTTGTTCAACAACGTACAGAAGAAATCTCTCACTGGCACCACCTTGGAGGTCAAAACGTTGTACTTGTTACACACTGCTACAACGGCTACGAGGGACAAACGGGTGTCGCTATAAAAAGCTTCGCCCCTAAAATACTTTTCACGCGGCCACCTGAACAGGTTTTTCTCACCCTGTGACGTTGGGGAGCTCCCCAATGAAGGGAAGGCCTTACGTGCAGGAAGTTCAAATGTTCGGGTGCCGCTATAAGGAACTTCGCCCCTAAAATGCTTTTCACGCGGCAACCTAACCAGGTTTTTCTCACCGTGTGACGTTGGGGGGCTCCCCAATGAAGGGAAGGCTCTTACGTGCAAGAAGTTCGTATGTCACATTGCTCGTTATTTCTGATGTTTTGAGGGCGCCATTTAACATACCACCATACCACATATACTGGCCTGTAGATCAGAGTACGCTCACACACTGATCGCGACCAGTGAAGATCGCACACTTAAACAATTCACAGCATATCCACGGAGTGAGTGATGATGAGGGGGGCGAAGCGTCCGTGCATCTATCTATCTATCTATCTATCTATCTATCTATCTATCTATCTATCTATCTATCTATCTATCTATCTATCTATCTATCTATCTATCTATCTATCTATCTATCTATCTATCTATATGTCTGTCTGTCTATATGTCTGTCTGTCTGTCTGTCTGTCTGTCTGTCTGTCTGTCTGTCTGCCTGCCTGTCTGTCTGTCTGTCTGTCTGTCTGTCTGTCTGTCTGTCTGTCTGTCTGTCTGTCTGTCTGTCTGTCTGTCTGTCTGTCTGTTTGTCCGTCCGTCCGCCCGTCCGTCTGGCCGGCCGGCCAGCCAGCCTTACGCATGGCAAGGTTAGACAATGAGAATCTTCGTCCTAA